ATCCAGCCCAGAGAGAGGTGGGGATGGAGTCACATCCAGCCCAGAGAGAGGTGGGGATGGAGTCACATCCAGCTGCTCACAGGTGCTGCTCTGCAGGGCTCAGTGTTGGGGCCAGTCCTGTTTAATACCTYTACTGATGATTTGGATGAGGGRATTGAGTGCATCCTCTGTCAGTTTGCAWACCTTCTTTAGGGGACTGTGTTTGAAAGGATGAAAATTGGAGTGTTATATGTAAAAGAAATCCCTAAATATGAACCTGCCAGTCATCTTTCCCTTTCTTTTTACAGGTGAAGCCACAGTTTGAAAGCCAGATAAACAAAACCTGTGCCATATTTACAGCCATAGCATATAGGGATCAACTGGTTGCTGGGATGAACTACTTTATTAAGGTTTGTATATATTATAGGAGGGAGTGTTTTGGAGTGAAATGATACAGGTGACTTGAAGAGTGGCTTACAGCTAGAAAGAGAAGCAAATGTAGGAAACTGATGTGAGTAATAGAAGTGGGGAGTACCCCCAAATGCTTATAAAATGCCACTGTTTGACACTACTGTAAGCAGGAATGCAAATACGATAAAATATGCCCTGTATTCATTCAAATGTGACTGGTAAGCTTCTTGGGCTCATCCCCCTCAAGGACTATATAAATCAAATTATTTAAACGAGTCATAACYGGTCTCCTGTTTCCTTTCAAGGCAAAGTAGTGTCTGTGTCCTTCAGCTGTCTTTGCTGGGATTAAATTGAAGTCAGCTTGGGGAACTGATGGAGAGATAATTTTGTAATGCAGTACAAACATCTCGACTCTGCTGACTGGTTTTGTGTGCAAGCAGGTGTGTTGATGTTTTGATTCTGTGTCAGGTGCTGCACAGGTACAGCCTGCCTGCTGGTTTTTTTTTGTATATTCAAAACCCCTTCTCTGCTGCAGAGGAAAAATGGGTAATGCTTAATTTGGAGCCCTGTGATAGCATCATTCATCCTCTACTGGAAGCCCTGACCCATGGATGTGAGGAGCTTCCTGTGAAGTAGCATGGAAGAAAGGGCTGGGTGCCCTTGACAAGGGAATTGGAAGAATTGTTTTATTAAAGAAATTGGCCTCTAATGTTTGGGGAGAGTAATTCTGCAGAGAGACACTGTAAGCATTAGCTCCACACTTCTCATATTTAGTTGATCCCAGGAAGGACAGATTATGCCAAACCTTCTTTCCCAGGTACTTCCTTAAAATAACTTTCTTTTTAGTGCTCTGTGGGCACTAGGGGATGGTGCTGATGGACTACCTATTATGAGGCCACTCAGAGTCCCCCCTACATGAATGATGTTTATCCTTCCCTTGCTCCTATGAGATGTGCTTTCACTTTGTGGACAAAGCACTGAGTGATGAAGAGTAATTATTTACAGGTACAGCCAGGAGTCAGGCCTAGTTGGATTTCTACACATAGTGCCATCTTATTGCTGACCTATGCAATGTAAAATATTTGTTTGCTGTTGCTGCTAAGCCTTGTGGCCAAACTATTCAGAAATGAAGATTTATGTGTTACTGAACTTGGAAGAAATCCATTTATAACACTGAAAATGGATKATTTGTCTCTTCTTTCCCAATGTTATCAATGATGGAAAACCGTTCCTCATTTTAGCATTAACTGGAAYAAATTCTGCCACAAGATTAATATTTTTATATTTCTGAGTCTTTCACATCAGTGTAGACAGTTTCTGCCACCAGTTACTATCCAGACTTGGATAAGAGCTGCTGAAGTAAAAATGAAGATACATCTAAAATTAAGCTCCTGAGCAATGATGGTTTTTCAAGAATGTAAGAACAGCCTTTTGTTTGACCCTGCTTTGAGCCCATGATCCTCAATTCCCCTCTCTTTTGGTTTCTAGGTCCAAGTTTCTRATGATGACTATGTCCACTTGAGGGTTTTTCAGAGTCTTCCTCAGGCGAACCAAGGTCCCCGTCTTGATGGTTTTCAGACTGGCAAAACCAGAGATGACCCTATCACCTACTTCTAAGAGATGATGAGGAGCAGTGCCTCACCTCTGCAAGTCCTTATGGGGTCCTGCCTGTGACAGTAAATAAAATAAATCTGGAAAGCTATTGTCTGTATTTTCCTTTTGCTGCTGATATACTTGCAGAGTCCTTTCTTGTTATCTTTCATGTCAATCACGCCATTAAAGTACTTCTAATTAAGACACAGAATAATCATAAGATTATCTGGAGTATAAAAAACAYTTAAAAAAGCTGATCAAGATAATAACCAATATTGAAAATCAGTGAAGAGAACACTAAAGCACCAGACAAATAAGACATGTTAAGTCAAAAGAAATGTTTATTGTAATAAATGCAGAAATGCTTGTCCAGCTTAAGTTTCCTTCACACAGGACTGAGAACAGAAGCAGAACTCACACCCTCTAAGGGACATGATATGCTTCTGCTGCAAGAGGATGAGCATGATTACCAAGGGAATGTTTGTTACAAACTACTGTAATTCTCTTCCTTAAAAATTTGCTTTATCTTGAATCTCTCACCAGGTCTTTGCCCATAAAATACAAAGTACAATTTAAATCTACACACATATTCACAGGTGCAAAACAGCAYAGAAAAMACTGAGGCTTTTCCCTTGTTCCTTRCTGCAAACATGAGTGCTGGTTTCACTCCCCCTCTGATTTCCCAACCAAGGAAGTCCACAAACAGGATTCASCCACAGTATTCTGGATAAGTTGCACTAAAGCCTAAGTTAAATTAAGATAAAAATTGGGTTTACATTAGTGCAGGTAACAGGAGAGCCACGCAACTCTCAGACTGGGACACTGGACAGGAAGGGAATGGCATAAAAGAAATTGATTTTTTTCCACCGTTATGCTTTAAAAAAGACACATTTTCCTGCCTTTGTTGGCACAAGAAACATCATTTTGCAGCCTGCAGAAAATGCACCTAAGAACCGGTCAGGGAAAGGCAGCAGAGAAGGTTGCTAGAAATAAGCCAGGTCATCGTGCTTTGTCTTGCTGCCCTGGTAACTGTGCAGGCTCAGCTGCTCRTTCTCATGGGGGAGGCTCTTGAACACCCGCAGGTGCATGAACTCATCATTCCCAACATGGACCTGCAAAGCACAAAACCCTGTGAGATCCCTGCAGAGCGAGCAGCCTGCAGCAGAGAGGGTGGCAGAGCTGGGCTGCTTTGAGGATGGACAAGCASACAGGCAGTAATAAAAACCATAGGCTTAATTTAAACCAGACTAGGAGCCATAACTTTGCAGAAATACCACCTAATCTTCCTATGGAAATGGAGAAAATTGTATCTCTCTATTTAACAGGTGGGGAGAAGGGCTGGGAGGTGGATATTTGGGTTTTTTAAGGCACACTTTTTTTCTTATTAA